AGTGTTTTGTTCATATTTAAATTACTTAGGTGACAACGTAATTGTTTTAACAATTACTATGGAAACTATGTGCTTTCAGTTTTTACTTGCTCTTACACGATTGTCAGGAATATGAAAATGGTAATGAATTCTTTTGAATACAGCAGGTGTATTTTTGGGTTTGGTTTGTTTGTTTGTTTTGGTTTTTTTTAATAATCTATCCTGGGTTGTCTTTCTCCAAGACATGACAACCTTCAGCTATACAGAAGATATCTGAAGACTCAAAGCCCACTCTGTGTTACTCTTGCTAGTAGGATTTCAAGCTGCAAGCAATAGGGCAGCATGAAGAGAAAGTCTAGCTACTACTTTGTGGTACTGTGATGTCAGGAGAAAGGCAGCATTGTAGTTCCAGTGCTTGGGACTTTGAACTGGAGCTAGGGTAAGGAAGAGGATATCCACACTTGTCAAGGAACTACTCATTAAGGACTTCATTTGAGTGGTCTAGGAGAGAGGAGCTATTGTCCCACACAAAGCTGTAGCAAGACATTGCTGTGCGCCTCGAGTCTTCCTCGCAATGCTCACTGAGGTCTTGCTGTTGCAACAAAACTGCAGGGTACATAGCAACAGCAACAGGTTTAAAGTTACTCTCCTTTGGCACAGTTCTTGGAGACATGCAGCCTTTCTTGATGTTTTTCTAAGCCAGTATCATCAGCTTACAAAGCAAGCCCTGTCTCTGAAGTCTGGCAGTTTTGTGACCTTTCTACCATGACTCATACTCATTGTATATCTGGAGGGAATTCAATAGGACATGTCATTTCAAGTCCTTAGTGGAGGTTTAGCAGCAGGATCCCCAGCAGAAAGAGGAATGCCTCTATGAATGCATTCTTTTGAATCCTGGTATGTCAGTATTTTGTGTGGACTTCGGCATCAGCACGTTTTAGTGGCAATGAGTTCCATGTGTAACATTTCCTGTGCAGAGAAAGTGTCTTCAGGCTGGTGAAGGGACTTGAACATAAGTCCTGTGAGGAGGGGCTGAGGGAGCTGGGGTTGTTTAGCCTGGAGAAGAGGAGACTCAGGGGACACCTCATCACTCTCTACAACTACCTGAAAGGAGGTTGTAGCCAGGTGGAGGCTTGTTTCTTTCCCCAGGCAGCTATCAGTAAGACAAGAGGGCATGGTCTCAAGCTCTGCCAGGGGAGGTTTAGGTTGGATATTAGGAAGAAATTCTTTACAGAGAGGGTAATCAGGCATTGGAATGGGCTGCCCAGAGATGTGGTGCATTCTCTGTCCCTGGAGGTGTTTAGGAAGAGACTGGATGTGGTACTTTGTGCCACAGTCTAGTAACTGTGGTAGTAGTGCATCAGGGGTTGGACTTGATGGTCTCAGAGGTCCTTTTCAACCCATCTGATTCTATGATTCTTAATTTTGAAATTATCTTTACCTGAAGAACCCTTTGTTGTTAGGGGTCAGATGTGCTATTTCTGATGCATTGTTGCATATTTTATTATAAGTCTTCTTGTATGTCTTTTTCCTCAAGTAATCCATCCCAGTGGCTTCTCACTTTCTCCATTCTGAGAACTTTTCTATCCTCTTGATCATTCTTGCTGCCTATGAATCTTCTTTCATAATCATGTATGAAATCATAATCATCTGCACATTCTGCCTCAGGATGTCTGCTCAGCTGTTAGACATCTCATAAATTACATGCTAAATCTAGGTACTTCCAGAAAGATGTTCCTATCTGTTTGTCTATCTCTGAGTCTCTTGGTAGGTTATTAAAAGAAAGTCTTTTCTACATGAATCTTCCTAGCTGATACAAGTGTCTGTTCCTACTTCTCTTTTTTAAATAGGGTGAGACAGATCTCTCTCCTTCTGACTGCCCCATTCCTGTTTCCCATGCTCTCAGTTCCTGCCAACCACAGATATTATTGCCAAACTTTTAAAAGCAATTTACATCTTCAGTGTTGATGCAGATACTGAATAGCAGTAGGTCTTGAGCTGATCCCTGCAGAAATCCAGTGAAAGTATCTAATTTGCTCCTAGTCCCCAAATTGACTCAGCAGTCTGTCAGCATATTCTGAATTCAAGTACCCTGTTTATATTGCTAACTTCTAAAAAAGTCAAAATTGCATGTGGTAATAAGCATCTCATGGCATTTTGCAGTACTTCTTAAAATTTTTGTATAATAAATGAGAACTCTCTCTGACAATTTTATTTTTAGTTTTTTTGGGCTCTAAAATTAATTTGCACTGTCTCAGATTTGGTTTACTTATGTCAGTTTTTGTTTATGCATTTGCTAAACTGGCAACAGCTGCTGAGGCCCCCCTGGTAACTTATACTGCAGAATTAGTAAGAATATTTTACAGCTGGACCAGATTTTTTTTCCCCCGAAATGAATATCTTAAGTGTTGACTTATTCTTTAGGTATTATTTCCTATTAACTCTTAGGTGAATTTTCTGTTCCTCCTACTGTTTGTGTTTTATTTGGTTTATCTCCTGGTTTATTTTGGTTTATCTACCAAGACTGGTGGCTCCAAACCTAAGCTGCTGTAGCTTACTTGTGACATAAATATCAACCTGTCAGAGTCCTGCATGCCTATCCATGCACTACTGAAGGTTTAACCACTTGTGTGGAAGATGCTCTTCGGCTCAGGCTTGCTGAAAGTGTGAGGCATAGGCATGTCTGTGACGTAGCTTGGAGAGGGATCAGGTGTGCAGTGGGACCTGGGAGCGAATGCGTGTACTCAGGGTCAGACACAGCCCTTTTATGGGCTCTGGATATTTCCATTTGGTTAAAATTAACAGCCTACTTTATTACTGGCAGACTAACCAATTTCAGATTGCTCCACAGCTAGGTTTTTTGATGTCCAAGATGATTGATACTGGTTCAATTACCTAATTAGTTAATCAGAAGTTTGTGGAAATTTGGAATTTTTCAGGGTCTGAGTCTTGTTTTAGAATTACTGATGTAGGCTTGAGCTCCTAAGCAGGTGGCTACAGATCTGCAGGTGTAGTGAACATAGGGAGAGGATGTCAGCTTGAATGAATAGGTTAATGTACAAATACTGATGAACAAACAAAAGTTGTGATGAAGAAGTCTGCTAGGGTGATGCTTCAAGATAGTCTTGGAAAAGATTTTTCTTTGGAAACTGTATGTTATCTGACAGCATAAAGGTCATAACTCACTTTTTCAACAAACAAATAGCATTATGTTGCATTTCTATTTGGTAATTTAGGATAGGCTATTTGCAAAAAGCGAAGTTTTGGCATTGGTTATACTACTCTGCTACTTGGGCTGAGAACTGGGTTTGTTTGTTTATTTTCTCTCCGTTCTCTGGGTTTGTTTATTTTCTCACTGCTTGCTCCATCCCTTAATAAAAAAAAAAAACAAACCAACAAACAAACAACTTTTCAATTGTGCATTCTGTTTTGTCATGTTTTTTTAAATCTTTTGTGATGAGCATCTTTCCAAGCACACCTCTCACCAGCAGCAGTATCTCACCATAAAGCTGCAAAACCTAGGTATCCGTCATAGGCCATCCTGTGTTCTTTGAATCTGATTAATGGTTCATTGAGGCTCTTGCCAGGCACTGGCATGCAGACCAAGCCTGGGGAAGACAGCAGAGGGGAGGTCAGATGGGAGTGAGGGAAAGGGATGAATTCCTGTGAGCCTGCATCACATGCTGCTTATTATATTGGGATGGGGCAACTAACTTGATTAGTGTGTATTTTCATAAAGACATTTACTGTACTACCTCATTATTACCAAATTTTGTAAATTTTTTTTAAGATATTCAAATGCCTCTCTTCCTTCTGCATTTTGGTAAAATCAAAAATATTATTTAGAGTTTCATATGCTGTTTTTTCCCACTGGACCGATCAATCTATCTATTCCAAATTTGCATTTACACAAGGATGGTGAGGGCATGAATTTGTCTTGTCACTACTGGTGAACTGCTGAAAGGATGATGACATTTCAGTAGTGAAACTTTCTCTGTGTTTGTGGCTTCTTACATAAAGCATTGACAAAGCTGTGTTTGCAGTATGAAAAGTGTATGTCTCTCTTGACTTGCATGTTCTGTCAAAGTCACACCTGTAAGTGTGGCCTTTCTAGTGAAAAGGTTATGGTGATACCTGTAGAGCTAAAACTCATTCTACATTAACATCATCTTTTAATAATTTCAGAGGATATATGGAGCAGTTCATGCACTGCACTGACTACATACAGTAACATTGTGACTATATAATCCTGTGCTGACTGCTTTTCATATTTTCAGCACCACAGGAAAGCGTTCTTGATTATTTTTGTATTAGAATTACTTATCATGGAACAATTTTCATAAATTATTACTTCATTTTACAGTTCTCTTGACTGTGCCCTTTAGCCCAAGACAATATTTAATTAAAAAAAAGAAACCAACCAAATAACCCCAAACCAGACCACAGTCTAGTAGGACACCAAAACAGAAAAGGGGCTCTTCAGTATCTCTCCAGGCTTTGAGTGGGCTAGCAGCACAAAGGTTCCAAGAAGCCAATTGTAAGCAGCTAGGTGGGAATTTTTCCAGATTTGAGAGAAATTTCTAGTTAAGAAAAAGCTGCCTGTGCATGGGAATATAGCTGCAGTACCAGTGTGTCCAGAGACTCCTCATTCAAAGGGTGGGTGTTTTCCAGACTGCTTCTCAGTCAGGATGTATGTAGACTACTCCCTCTGCTGGCAGTGCAATAACAGCTCTTTGTGTCTGTCTTTTAATTTGCATGTCCATTTGTCCTAATTTTCTAAGCAACTAGTATGTACTGTGTTGTGTTCATGTAAGAGGTGGTACCCAAACCTTGTGAATTAAATTCTACAAGTGAATATATTCATAGTATTATTGTTATTTTTAACAAAGCCTTCTTTAAAGTGTTACTTGAAATTACTTCTGTTGCTGTGCTGCCACTACTGTTACGTGTTCAAGCCTTGAACTGTCAAGGAATTATGATGTATTTTTATTCTGTGACATTTTAAATTATTCTCTCCATAGGGGAAGCCTGTGGGAACGCCAGATGCTGGTGCCTATTTCCGTGTGCTAGCAGAGCATGAAGTAGCTGCCTTCTTTACTTCACCAACTGCAATTAGAGCAATCCGTCAGCAGGACCCTGAGGCAACCTTGGGAAAGCAGTACTCTCTGAAAAGGTGAACTAAGGATACACTAGAAGCAGTGTGTTCCAGAAACAAAACTGGATGAACTAAGAATAATGGAGTATCTACCCACCTCTGTAGAGCAGCATTTTAACATATTCTTGAAAATTTAGGTGTACAGGTATTTGCTTACAAATTTATACTGATAGTCAGAGGAGATGAAAGCTGTTAAAAAATCTCGGACTAACATAAAGAGCTTTTACTGAGTTAGGATTTCACATCCATCCTAAATTTTACTGTGTTTATTCCCTGTAATTCCCAGTATTGTGTACTGTTTTCCCACATAACTTCTCATTTTGTTGAGTGCACAGGATCTTTAGTGATTGCTAAATCAGCAACTAGTCAATGTTTTGGTTGTCCTCCCCATAACTTTGTTATTTTTTATGATTATGTGCTCCAAAGACTGAGCTATTTGCTATCTCATACTGGTTTTAAGGTGTTTATCAGTATACTATCAGCATGCTTCAAAATCATGACTGAATTCATCCTCACAAATCCCCTGTGAGATGAGAGAGTGGTATTATCTGTATTTTGCACATGGGAAGCTGAGGCATAGAGAGATTAAGGTCAAAGTCTTCTGGTAGTTTTGAATATCCAGTCTGAGCCACTGAACTATCCCTGTTTTAGAGTTCTTAGCATCATATGGCTAAAATGTGTTATTAGCATTACGTTAATAAAATGGTTGTCACAGTGACTTGGATCTGTGCGTATTTAGTATTTCTAAAGACCAAGTTTCTGTATCTTATGGTAAACATTCTAAAAATGGAAAATAAATGGATTTGGGCCATATCTAATCTTGAAGTTCAATAAATTGCTCAACATTAAATGGACTGTGTCAGACTGTATAGGCAGTGTTCAGTCACAAGAACATCTATTATTACCCCTGTCCAAAGAGAAGGGGAAGATGCAAAGCCATGTAGCTTCATTAGACTTCCATATTCTTATTTGCTCAGGAAAGTTTATTATTAGTGTTGCCTAAAAGACCTCAGAGAAAAAGACTCCAGGCCAATTTGGTGTATAAGATAAGATAAAGAGAGCAGGTCCTAGGGGAATACATACCATGTGAGCGCATCCAGACCATGGTTCTATGATTTTATCATAAGGTCCATTCAGTCCCATTTCTGTCCACTCCTTTTTCTGCTCCATTCTGCCCCCCAACACACCCCTTTGGGAGTTGGGTCTGGGGGCGTTTGGGACCCCTTCTTCCTAATCTTCATCTTCTTCACAGCACGCACAGTCTTGGAGTTCCTCCAAAGTTCTGGGCTTGAAGATTGCTGTGTCTGTGTGATATCTTCTGGTCCAGGACTTAGGGTGTTTTTCTACAATTCTACCTTGAAAAGAAGACTAAGCACGCTAATGGAATTTTAGAGGGATTGATATGAAATGGGGTAGTAGGGTTGGGTATGTATAAACATTATGCTGCGGGGTAAGGGATGTAATACAGCTACATTAAAATCTACATTCACTACACATCTAATATCTATAAAAGTTAAAAATCAAAACAAATCTCTGAGGCATCATTAGTAAGCTTGTTTTAATTCCTGAAGTATTCATTATGAGTTCGTCTTACTTTCTTCCATCTGTTTTGAGTGTTATCATCAATCCTTACCCCTACTTGATGTAGGAAACAAGCTCCTTTGAGACACCACTGCACTATTCTTCTGTGATGTTTATTGACAAGAAAGTGATTCAGATGCTGGAACATTTAATTGCTGTTCTTTGGCATTTTTAGGCAATGACTTAACTTAGTCTGTCTTTAGAGTATTCATTTAATGGGAAATCTGCTAGCCTGCTTTGTAAGTCGTCGTGTTTACTGACCAATGAGAATTCCAGATAAGAGTCTTCTTGCTGAAATCAGTTGCCACAGATATAAAGAGGTACTTCCTCGTTCCTATGCAATGCATATGGAATGAGCTTCTCCATTTGTCTGCAAATTTAGTTGTCTCATAATTCACTCATCTTTGGACCATGTTGTTCACTGGGACATGACATCTCTTTACGAAACTCTCTAACACAGCGTTTTTAAGAAAGTCCAGCAGGTGATTAAAATTTCCATTCTAGGAAAATACTAGGGTTTGGGTGTTACTTGGATGGACTTCTCTATTCAAGGTCAAGGGAATTCTGTCTTAATCACTTTGAAATCAGTCTTACTTTTAGTTCATTTAGTTGATCTATGATGCTTTCTTCTTTCTGCTGAAGAATCTTAGAAATGAGGTATCTTTCTGCTACCTGGGCTAAAGTGAATCCTTACTTTAGAGCCTCCACATCCAAGAATGCAGTCTGAAAAGAGATTTCCACCATGGACATTTCATTCCTGAGAAATTGTGTTAAAAAAAATGGTAAAGGTCAATGTCACTTCTAAAAAAATCATGCTAAAAAATACAGTTTGTTACTGTTAAGGAAAAGAGTTGGTAGGCAATGCCAGCTTCCAGTATACAAGGGAGTACTTGATTTACAGGAGTAAATTGAGTTATAAACAGACTTGTGTTCTTTTGAAATGACAAAAGTTAAATAAATTTCTGTTAAGAACTGATATTTCTGGCATCACTGGCCTCTGCACAAAACTATATGTAAGGTTTCCAAAGGATCTAGTGTGTATGCTTTAAATTCCTTGTGGCTATTGCAATCAAATCTTGAAATTTTTTTGCTTTTGACACAAAATGTGTCTTAAACAAAAGCCCTGTTCAACCATGTATTTGTAGGGGAGCTAAAGACACAGGTTTTGATACTATCCAGTGCTGCTGAGCAGGCTGTCTGATCACATTGCTGCTGCCTGTTGTGTTTGAAAAACAAGTAACATCCAAATTCTATGAGCCTCATCTACCTGAGCATGTTCTATTTGAATCCATTCTCATGTTCCTGAGGTAGCTTCGTAACACCAAGCCATTAACTCTTCCCATATTTAGAATCACACTTTGTTCTATAATTGACATAATTGTTATGAGCTGGTCACTCTGATTTTCAAGTGATTGGCAACTGATGGTTTTGCATGAAATGGGGGCAACAACTCAGCAGATTAGATTAACGTAGAAGTTACAATTCGACATTTGTGTCTCATAGTCTACTTTACTTTCTTGACTGTCTTTTTGTCTGTTGAGAAATGGTCTACCGTTTTGTATCATGAGAATTTAGCGATTCTAGCTTGTTCACCTGATACCGGATATTAATGCACTTGCTTTTGAAAGAAATATGAGACTGCATAAAAACTGTGCAGAAATAATGAATATAAAATAGATAAGGAATTCCATTATCTGTCTCATAACAGAGGAACAAGAGGATGTGAAATTAAAGTAGCAAGTTCAAAACTATAAGAAGGAAATATTTTGTCATAGAATTGGTGTTTCAACCATGCTGCTAGAGGATATGCGATTAAGGCACAGAATTTAGGACAATTGAAGTGCATTATGCAGTTCTGCCTGCTGCCCCCTACTCTGTGCTGCTGTAGATCATGTGTGGCTGTTCCTGTTGGAGTCCTGAGCTGTGCTCATGAAGAGCCTTTGTGGGGCTCTCCCTCATCCACGCTGTGAGAAGGAAATGAGCTGCAGTTGTGTTCTGTGCTGTCACCCAAACCTCCAGTGCTTGGATACTCATGGCCAAGATAGAATCTGTGCAGGGATGGAAATGAACAAACCCATCAATCGAGAAGAATAAGAAGGATCTGAAAATACTGCTTTTATATTTTACATGCTTAAATATATATATGTCAGTAGACTCCAGGTGCATTAACATGTAGTAAGAGTTCTTTATTTCCAGTGTATGTTAAGAAGTGCAAATGAACCTTTGTTGCTGTCTTTTTAGGAAAAAAATATTATTTAATATGATGCAGATAGAGGGGTTTTTTTTTGCTGGAAAACATACCTTAAACTAGTGTGTGCAATCCAGAATTAGAAAAACCCAAAACTTCCATGATCTTTTAATTTGAAAAAGTGAAGCTCATATTATTACCCATGTGAATATTCCTGCTTCTGGGAAATGTTTTGGAGATGTGGTTTCTTTTGTGCTTGGGGTGACACCAAAATGTACATGCTGTATTGAACAATTTAGATTGCAACAGGATCATTAGGGACATTGATCTGTCCTCTACATCAGGTAATACCATAATTTGACTCTGCTTCACTCTTGGACAGGGTCTAAAAGCCTGAGTGTGCTGAATTTCATGTAAGAAATGTAAATTTTTCAGAACAGCTGAGGACATATTTATTTAACAGAGAGGTTTTAAGACCTTTCTTCTCAATTAACTGCATTGCAGTGGTAGATAATTGCAGTGACAGGTGCACTGAAAGGCTTTGAAGGTTTAAGTGGACTATTAAAAAATTGTTCAGTGGGACATTTCATAACCATTGCCATTTCTTGTTTTGCTATACTGTTTGATAGAGAAAATAAATCCATAGTTCTTATGTTTTGTTAGGCTTGTGGCACTTTGCTCTGATACTCTTTTTGATGGTTTTGTGCTGTAAAATTGCCAAAGAGCTAATTTTTCTTCTTTTCACAACATAGAGTTGATCTTGACCTGCAGATTATTAAATGTGATTATTAAAGCTGGCATTTCAGAAGAGAGGAATTCTTCTTTTGGCTCAGGGGATAAGAAGGTATCTTAACTTTTTCATCAAGTCTTATAAGTTTCTGCTGTTTTAATAACCCTTTTTTAAAACACGGACACTTAAAAATTTTTCATTGCTTTATGTAATTAATGCATTCATTAATTTAAATTTTAAGTATAGCTGGAATGTTGTTTTTAACATGCTTAAGGACTGAATTTTCCATATAATGTAAATTGAGCACTGCTTAACAGAAGTGCCCTGCATGTGAACGTGAGTCTTAAAGAAGTCTCATATAATACGTATTTGTGGTTATTACTTAAATGTTTTGTTTTCTTCTACCATAAACTTCTGTGTTAGAATTCTAGTTAGCTATTGACTATAACTGGCAGCGATGGCTTGTGCTTTACAATTAAAGCATTCAGCTGCAAGATGATGATTGGGGTCCCACTCATTACAATCAGTATCTTCCAGTGTGCTCAGAAAGCAGTTTACCAAAATGATGTTGAGTATTTATGAGTACAGAAAAATTTGCTTATTTGATGTGATAGGTGCTTGTGCATTTGACCTCCTGCCTTCGGTTCTAAGTAAGAAGCCACTCCAAACCCTCTTGGAAAGGAGGGTTGGCCAAAATCCTGTTCTGAAATTAAGTTGAATTCTTTCATCTACATGTTCAAGTTCAATATGGTAATATTTTTCAAGATCTTCTGACTTTCCTAAGTTTGTAACTAAATGTGTAAGTTGACTTTTCTATGTTGAAGTTATTATTATGGCTACCTCTATGATTGTTTCTGCTACAGGTAAGAGCATTCTCATGTTTTTATATCTAGCTGGTGCAGGGGTCCCTATGTTGGTGATTAGTTCTAATCTTTTGCTTGTGGAAGTTTTTTTTCCTCTAGCTGTAGATCTGTAAATGGATCTGAAAGACAATAAACTCGTCAAATTTTTGATGTCTAGGCCAAGCATCGCTATCACAATTTTAGGGCACATGGCTTGTTACACTTACAATGTTTCATCACAGGATTTACCTACTCTGTTTCCAGATGTTGCTTTAATCTGTACGTTCTCCTGCCTTGCATCTACATAGTGAGTAGGTCACTAGTCCTTACACTGTGAAAGGCTGCATTTTACGTTATCAGCTTGTATCTGTCCTCTGGAGGAGAATGGAGTGTGAATATTTAAAGTATGCTCTTTAGTTTGGGCACTTGTTACGGCATGTCTGTGGTCTCTATAGTAGAAGTCAATCTGTAATTTCCCTCTTAGAGGTGTTCCCAGTTCTATGGTCAGACAGGCTGATCTGTGCATTTCTCTTTCTCATTTCTGACACCATTTGGTTATGTGCATTGATTTTTCTAATTAATTTCCTAATCTGCTTTCTGGATTTCATTTCCATGGAAAGATGAATCTTGTAGTTTTCTCTCTAAATTACCTGACTCTGAAGGGGAAATTTGTTTCATGCCTACCATGTCTAGGAATTCTCTCCTTTTTTGGCCTCAAGGCTACAGGTTTTACAAAATCACTGCAGATTATGTCCACTTCTGAAGGACAAGAGCCAGGTCTTTTGTTCAGCAATTGTCTTCAGTCAAAATGGACTGAGGGAAGACTTGAAATGAAACAAAATGTCACTGGTATTGATCTGGCAGTGGGAAAGGGTGCTGCAATCCTAACAAGGGAACGTTTTGGAGAAGTGTTTTTAATGCCCGTGTCTGATGTTGTGTCACATGAAGCTCTGTTCATATAATGAGACATTCTATCATCTTGGAAGCCTAAGGGGGATTGATGCAGTACTTGGTAAGAGTGTTTCTACAGTTTCTCCTGAGTTTAAGAAATGTTTAGTCACTTGTAGAGTGTGTATACCTGTACACTTGAAGAAAGAGGTTCCTTGCTAGTAAAGAGAGTTCTGATGTGGAGTCTGAATCTGTGTTTGCCTTTTGTCTTTTTTGATCATATGCCATATAGGGAGAATTTGGGAGAGGGAAAGCACAAGCCCCCACCCTGTGTGGATTCTGCAGAAAGGAAGCGAGTTCTTTGGCCTGTCGCAGTTGGGTACGTGCAAGGCAGTTCTGCAGTCAGAATTCACATTATACCTTGTGGCAGGATTGCACTTGGTGGTTACAGACAGGTGTTAACGTGGTTGAAGTGTTTCAGGTTGCCATGCCAGTCTTCCAGGGAAGGAGGTGCAGTCTGTTGTGATTTATCTGTAAAATAAAAAGAGAAGTTGTGTCTTAGATTTCCCCTGGTTTACATATTACTTCCCAAATAGATGGTTTCTGTTTCAAAATCTTACTTCAATAGGAACATGTTTAAGTGTGCAGCAAAATAGCAACATGCAAAACTTTAAGATGTTCCTGATATCCTTTTTCAGAGGTAACAGAAAATTCATTTGAAGTAATAATGCAATAATTTAATAGCTGTGTCTATTGCTATTGTTTTAAACAGTAGCTTAGCCAAGTGTCTATCATTTGTCTTAGTCATGTGTCAGAGTTACTCTAGGGCCTTGGATTTTGTTTTATTTTTGTTTTCATTTGGTTTTTGTTAGGTAAAAAGTAAACCTTACCCTTCTGAATCTCTTAAAGATAAATTACTCTCTAAAGTTGCCTCTTATTCTTTGTGGACTATAGAGGATACCCAGAAAACTAGTTCAGCGTTGACATATTTTTTGGATAGTAAGAACCAAGTAAGATAAATAGCATACTCCCTGTAGAAATCATACTGTCAACAACACAGACAACAAAACTAGGAAAGTACTAATGAGAAAGTGTTGAATATAAATCAACAGTTTATCTGATTATAGTTGGCTGGGCATTTCATCTCTACATCATGAACATGAATTAGAAGTTCTGTGTTGTATGTGAAGAGGATTGCTTATTTCTTTGTCAGTGTTGTAGGGACAAGATCATAAATGATTCTTATCTTTAGTATCTTCTTATTGGTTGGTGGTGTCTGGCCAGTGCCATGAGTATCCATGACTATAGAACGGAGTAGTTCAGTTTGAAGTGACCTATAGTGCTAATCCACTCCAGCTGCCTGACCACTTAAGGGCTGACCAAAAGCTGAGACATTGCTGTTGACTAGGGACAAAAAGGGACAAGCTAGGGACATTGTTGAAATGCCTCTTAAACACTGACAGGCACAGGACATCAGCCACCTCTCTAGGAAAGCAGTTAGTCAAATGAGCTGAAGTCTAATGCTGAGTGCTTTTCTGATTGTCATAAACTACTAGGATTAGTGAGGTTTTGTGTGTATTTATGTATATGTAGCCTGCTTCACCACAAGAAAATGGCTTTATCCTGTTGTTTCCCCCACAACTCATTTCCAAATGCCTATAAAAAGATGACTTGAGTTCAAAAAATACTAAAATCTGTTGAAATGGAACATTATTAAAAATGTAAAACTAAGAGTTATGCTACAGGTATTTCCTTTTAGTTCTGTGTATTTCTTTACTACTTTTTCTGATAAATCTTCTGGATTCTTTTTTGATATTCCATTCCTGTGTGTCGCCTAATGGATATCTACCTAGTTCCTATGTACATTTAATTATTTTTTATTTCGACTGATAGTTGGTTGCCTCTGGTCTCCCAATGTCTTTGCATTCAGAAAATAAAGCTTCTTTTACATGATGAAGTATTAATTAATTATATAAATATATAATTATATATACTATAATTATATATACTATATAAATATTACATTATCATTATATAATATATTATTAAAATGTATGATATAATATATTCTGTATAATTATATTATATGTATAATGAATAACTTTATACATAATTATATATTGCAGCATAAATTAATACTGCAAATATTCTAATCATTACTTAGTAGGAGGGAGCATACAAAGACTAAGAGCCCCCATTTATCTGGGAACAGTGACCAGAGACATTTATTGTATCTGTTATCTTGTTTTCCTTTGCACATCCAGATTTATACTTTCTTTATTTTTATTTAAAGGCTCAGAACGTTATTTGTAGCTGGTGAGCACTGTGATGTGGACACGCTAAAATGGTCAAAAGAAGTTTTCAAGGTACCTGTCTTGGACCACTGGTGGCAAACTGGTGAGTGTTTTAAAACACTGTTTGTAAAATAGAGTGAGGAGAGATTTTCGGGTTTGTTTCCTGACTCTGCAAGTAGAACTGTTATTTCTTTCCATGAAAACTTAAATAGGTAGGATCAAGTGTGAAAATAAAAATTCAAGCAGGAGGAATATTTTTTGGAAGTGGTCTGAGAAGTGACTTCAGGATACATTTAGAACACAGCATTTTTAAAACCTATATAGAAAAAAAGGTATTTTCTGATATCTGTGTTTAAAACAAGGGTTGCATCAATATTTTTTCTGGATGTATTTATGTGTGACTGTTTTGACAGAAAATTTGCTATTTAAGGCTTAGCTTAAGTTTTTTCCATATAGGTTTTGTGTAATTAAAAATGAACAATCTGCATCAGAGTAGACTCCTTGCTCTTTAATATTGTTCTGTATGGATGTCATCCAACTTCTAGTGATTATTTTGGAGTGTCTCCCATTTATTTCACTGGAGGAAGATTAGGTACTTAGACTGCAATGAAGGAATCAGGGTACCAATCTATGTGTACCTTTGCAAAAATCCCAATTGAATTCTGGATTAAGGCTTGATCAAATGTATCTATAACTAAGGAATCATGTATTTTTAAATTTTACTGTTACAACATAGGATTTGGATTTTGCTTCTTACATACATTATTGCTATTTAAATAAAGGAAATGTATTCCAGCAGCTCTGTCATTTCTCTGTATCTCTCTCTCTGAAGTAAAATCTTCTGAGATTCGCCCATGATGGGTCAGATAGCAGATATATAAGATTAGAATAAAAGTGGAAAACTATTTAGTTCCTCTATCTATTATATAATTAAATCAGTTGAGGAGGCTTAAAATGCCTAATCTCCCTAAATATCCCTAAATGTCCTTAACATTGGGACACTCCCCATCCCAATCTTATATAAATACTAAAAAAATACAGGAAGATAGTAGTACCATTTTTTATTTAATCTTGATTTAATCTGCTAATTAACTGATTAATATTTTGCTCAGTTCTCTATGATCCTAATGTCTTTAGGCAAAAACAGACCTGAGTGATGCAAAATGAACAATATCCTGAAAAAGATTAAAAGATCACATAATGTCTTTGACTAACTACTGAACTTTCAGTAAGCAATATTACTGTATTTGATTTTATCTATCTTTGTGCAGATACATAGATATATAAAAATCGCCTCCCATCCAGTATTTAAACACATTAATAACATTTCCTCTGAGCCTTCTCCAGACTGATTTTGTTTTCAAATAAGTGAAATGAATACAGAAATAGAACTGTTATACAAGAAGTATTTGGCCTTCACAAGTGTCATATGTTTTCCTGGTAATAGATGCATTATGACTATAAGTGCTTTGAAGCGTTTAGAAAATTCTGAAAGAGTTGCTGGTTTCTCTTCATGCTTATCTTCTCTTCAATTCTAAGAATAAGCATAGAAATTCAGGTACTTTCAGAAAATATATTACTTTTTAAACAGATCTTTTTTTTTTTTTTTGAGAAATGGGCTTCGGATTTTCAAATACCCTTATCTTATTTTGTCACCTTTCTTTATCTCATGTGTTGGTACATTTGCAAGAAATGAGGGAAATACTCTGCTTCCAGATAGCTGTACACAGCTGTTGATGTACATATATTAATATGGCTCCACAGTCAGGTTAATACTTAACATCACAATTTCTAGATTGTGCAAGCAGGCCTGAAGCAGTCATTCTCAGTGCTATAATATGGGAAGGCTTGCCCAATTGTTTAAATAAGAATATGCTTTAATTAGCTCAACACTGAATATACTGCAGTATCTCCTTTTAAACACTGGAAATAAGTGTCCCAGCTGAGGTGGGCGGCATTCTTTGATACCGCTGCAGGTTAGAATCTAATACAAAGTTAAAATAGAGTAACTATATAGATCAGCTTTCAGAAAGCTATTTGTTACTAAACCTCTGTTGCAGAGAAATGACCTGTCTTATGAAAGCACTTAAGTGTGCACCTGTGTTGTATTTGACATTTAAAATGTAAAGTAATACCCTAAGCCATGAATTAGACTAAATGGGCAAATTGATTGGGGGAAGGAAGTATTTGTGATACCCTTCTGTAGGAATGGATTTGCCCTATATAGGATGGAAGAAATCCTGCCAGAGATGGACTGGTGAAGGAAAAGAAGAAAACAGTGCAAGGGTTATAGAAACAGAAGGTTTTAATTTTGTTTAAACGGATCTTAAGATGGCTTTTCTGTATTTTGCAAAGTCACTGCTTCTCCTTCCCGACACCCCCCTGTGAAGGACCCTTATGCAGGAATGTCCTGGGAAGATATCCTGAGGTCTTCCCATTGGCCTTTGTTTCACCTCTTTCTATTGGCTGTTAACTCTTTACCTGATTGGGTTTTTCTGTGGTACCTTGACTTCGTAATTGGTCCCTTTCCAATCCCCCTGAAACCCATATAAACCCCCATCCCCAAATAAACTCTCTCTTTCGTCCGTCCCTCAGCCGTGGTCCTGTGTGTCCTTACGGGCTCATAGAGCCACGTGCTCGAGGGGCAGTTGGGAGAGCATCACACCTCCAGAGAATGGTTTAACACCCAAGACCTGAAGGTGCCCCCTCTCCAAATCAGCCGTCGTACCCTTCCTGTTTTAAATGAAACATGCTGAGATAAATAGCTTGGTGGTGGCTGTCTAGGTGTGTGATTTGAGAGTGGTCTAAACTTCCATAAGGGCAAGTCACCAATGAAAGAGGGAGCGGAGCATTCCTCCTTTGTCTCTGGCACTGCCTTTGTACCTCTATTGTTAGGCCAGTCCTACCATGCATGCGGCTGCATGACAAGCAGAATCAGAGCATTGATTTAGGCAAAGATTTACCTGGCTGAAAGAAAGACTAATAATACTTCTTTAAAAAAATATGAATGAGTTCAGTTCTTTGAAAAAAGGTGGGGAAAAGGAAGATGGGAACATATAAGTGTAGAAGGATAATGAGACCACCCTTTTTTTTACAGTTATCTTCACTGATACGCTATTAAATTAGTTCAAGTCAACTGTGAAGTGTTCCATTGTGCATTTTAATTACAAAATCATCCTTCTTCATATAATGGATACTGAAAATGAATATGGCTGTCACATCGTTGTCTGTTTTAGCTCTTTTCCCAACAGTAACCTTTATCTGTGGTGTCTGTAGTGTATGGCCTGGTTGACTGAACACACTTGGTACTCTTGTACAATAAAGAATGTAGAGAAATAAGGGGAACTTCAAGTGGAAATACTAAACAGCAAGTAGTCATAACCAAAAAAAAGCCAAATTTTTGCACAATGTACCGGTCCTATTGTACAAATATATCTACTCTGAATTGTCTGTATAATTAATGGATCTTTCTAGTTTCCTTTGTCACCTTTTAAAAAATGGATTGTTTCATTTTCTAGTTATATCTCTTTTCCATGTTTTCTGAGTGAAGTTTCTACATGACCGTTTCTGAGTAGATAAAGTTAAGCAGTTAAGAAGAGCTTTTTTTAAGTCTCTGTGTACAATTTAACCAAGTGAGAAAGATCAACTTTAATTTTACTTGGATGTGAACAACAGGTGAAAAACACTGTTGCTTTGCCATGATGCTTTCAGTCAACTTGTAGAGGTTTTACATGCTGTTTTATACAGTGCTAGAGGGATGAACAAACATATTTTGCAGCCATCCCACCTCAAGGTAAGAAGTTGTTGTGGTCTGCTGCCAAGGGAATGTAACCTGAATTGTAAGCCTGATGGAGAAGGTCATGCTTTAGAAGTGATATTCTAGCTTTGCTTAAGTTTGTAAGCAGTTGAGAAACATCTTGTAAGGCAACTATGAAAATCTTGATTGCAAATCATTCAACTTACGTAACATCTTATATACTAACTTATATACTAACAGTGTGGGTGCAGCTATGCTGTGGATTTTTGTTGACACTATCACACATCACGTTGTATTGAGATTATCCAAACTGTTCTCCTCTGTGCATTTTAGTGCTCCAGGATAATAGTGGCCAGATGTCATCTCCTTGTTTAAGTGTTGATGGACAATTAGCATCAGACTGTAGTTAAACAGGCAGCACTAGCTGGATATGCTTAGTCTTTCTACACATTAACTATATAACATGTTTTATGTACCAACATGGTGTAGATCTCTTCCAGGGAAGTGGTAAAGAAAACATGTTGGCAAAATTATACAGTGGATATTTTTGAGGCCTTGCTAAAGGCATGGCTGAGCTGTACTGTACAGAGGCTAAGACAGTTATTTGAAATTATCTTCCAAGACCAGTAAGCATAAGACTAAAATGATGCTTGGGCTACCAGCCTGCAGCATGACTATCTAGACAGAATTTGTCAGGGTTAACAGCACTAAATCCAAGTTGTGAGTGAGGCCACCTACTGTTACTGCAGTTAGAAGCTTGCTTGGGTACTAGTGATGAAGGACTGACAGAGAAACTGACTTCTTTGCTCCGCACAGTCATATGCTGAAGGATTAAGGAATCGAGGTCTGTATGAATACTTGATGATCTGGCCCCTGAATCTTCAGGACACTGCCAGTGCATATGATTTCTGTGATGCATTAGATTTGGTTTTATTATAAGGAAGCAGTATGATATACTGTGATTTTGAGTCTTATAATTCATCTGGTAGTGTGGTATTCTGTTCCAGGATGGCCAGTAGTTGCCACACTAGAGAGCATTTTGCTGTAACTTTCTTGAATTCTTCATTGCACCCTTTCTAGCATAATTAATGTTACTTTGTGGAGGGAGAATGTGCAAGGAGTCTCTTTAGAGATGCATTCTTGTGGTGTGAATTGATTTTTTATCAGTTGCTGCCTAAGCTTTCTGCCTTCATAGACTCTCCTTTCTACTTTATCTGTGCTGTCTTCTACTGTATTAATTCCTTTAATTCTCCACAACAAAAACGACAGCCTTGACTGAAGAATGACTCAAAACAGCACTACCACAGTGAGAATTTAGTGTATTAAATTTATTGCATTCATTTGTA